AAAAAAAAAACAAAATATATCAATTAATAAATTTCCAGTTTCCACAAATCCGTGCGATTTTGGGTGGGTTTGACAAAGCAAGAATTGTTAAGTCAACCGCAAGGGCTGCTCAGGCATACAAGACAGACATAAATCAAGTCGGTAACCTTATTGAAGAAATGATGATCATTTGTGGTCACAGTGGAAAGTTTGAAGAAGTAAGTTTGAGTTTTGAGTTTGTTGAATTTCAATCATCTTATAAGAATCTTTGAATTTCTCCAAATCTGGTCAGACATTCAAACCCAAGTGCAATTTTTCTCAGAAAGAACTGAATTTGAAAGCTTGTAATTTGAAAGTGGAAATTTTTGCAACTTTTTCAGGTCAGTGACGTGATTGAGATGTGCTTTCAGGAATCTTCTGAATGGCGACAAAAAATGGCGGAAATCAGAGGTTTCTTTGAACAGTCTGCGTTTGATGATGACCGCGAAGAAATGGAAACACGATGTTAAATAATGTTACAACATAAATAACGTATTGTATTGAGGACTTTCAAGGTAGAARTTTTGCGTTAGCTTAATAGTGCATTTTTTTTTTCGTAGAAAAGGCTTTTTTCTTAGAAAAAAAGCGCTGCTCTCTTGCTCCATAAAATGACTGCCGTGAAGCCATCTGCATCCTTTATAACAGGATAGTCAATTGGTGCACAAAGTCTTTGTTTACAAACTAATAACGAATAGCTTTAGACATCTTTTTTCTTCTCCCTTCAGTAACAGATGGAGAAATTGAAGTGACAGGAACACGAAAGAGTAAATACAGTGGACCAAAGAGCAAGGAAAAGGCTGTTTACACGTTATATAATATATAAAGACAAACTACATGTAGTTTTCGCACGCTAGTTCGCACATGCATGCTCACTATCTTTAGGGAGTACAATCGTTTTCAACCAATCAAAACACGCTTATAGAAGTCACTATGTGAAAACTCTTATCTTTTAAATTGAAATTCTAAGCTTTTGAAGTCGATGAACTCTTGAAGGTTTCTTAGCTTCTTTTGTGGTTCCATGTGGGATGTTTATACAAGTCTTCTCAATAACAACAACAACAACAACAACAACAACAACCGGCCAAAGACAAAAGAAAATATGGTTTCGTGTCTCTGGTTTAGTGTATCAGCAAACTGCATTTAAACACCAACTGAATCGAGTGCTTTCTCTCAGCGAAAACCTACGTATGAATAGGATATAAATAATTATATGTAGARAAGAAATACGTTATATAGCAGAATAAGCCTTTTTCCCCATAGCGTCATTTCCATTTCTGTCCAATGGCGCTTCACAATATGAACTAACATCTATGTACAATAATATCTAAAAGCTAAATAAGTTGTGTAAAGCTAAATTT